TTATTTGCTACTTTTTTTTGATGCTTTTTATTCTTTATTCCCCTTGAACTAGATACTTAAGTAAACGGAACTACCCTTGAAAGATTTTCGAGCAGGATGTTTTGTCGATTGCTCTTCCTGCCATGGCCGCGGATGATTAGAATCGCTTTATTAAGGTTCGTTACAGTAACCCCCCGACACTCTAGGAGGGAATAATCGTCCACCTTAGCCGTGAAAGATTTCGATTTGAAAAAAAACACACCTTTTACCCAGATTGGTACACGGGTCATAGGTGTACATGTAGATCTGAAAATCACAAACTAGTGGAAAAGAAATCCAAACACATCCAAATGTCACAATCATAGTGAAGCGATGAAAAACCTATATGAAATCATGTGAACTTACTAAAAGCAGTAGGAATACGAAGCAGAAAAATCTGCAAAGGAAAGTCGGAGATCTGATTAGCTGTTTGCAGAGTATGAGGGCAATTCTGAGATGAGCCATTGATGTCCGGAGCGCTAACGAATTTCTCCTATAAAGGTAGTCTTTTCAAAAAGTGTAAGCAAAGAGCTGAACGGTAATGGTGCAGCACCGTGTCTTCCCGATTGCCACGTTCATTGCCTAAATGGGGGGTCATTAGTATTCTGACATGGAGCCTAAAATCCATTTTTGAAAGCTACATGCATAACATAATATGTCACTAAGATGATCAAAAAAGGATATTTATATTTGTGTAAGGGTGAGGGTGGCGTGCTGGAGAGTGACGCACTGTCACACGCACATGGTGAGGGATCAGAGCCTCAGAGATCTTACTCGTTAAGCCAATCAGGCATTCCACTTTACCGAAGTCTTGTATTTGGTAGACCCGTCATGAAGGATGAAAGCGCTGAATTAGAAGGAATCCAAAAACTCTGCAGACACTCCCTCTTGCATGGTTTTATCCCAAATGTGAAAGTATGAAATCTGCTTCTTGAATATTCAACAGACTGAACGCAGCTCTCCTCTGCTGCTCTGTACAGTGATATTGAATTGAACAATCTCCTTAGTTTCAGGTTTCGTCTGTATGGTTACTTCAAATACCTTATCCAAAAAGACGACAATAGTGTAGTGACAAAAGGCGCACGTTGTCATAGGCATTTTCGGGGTTCGAATTTCGAGACAATAACTGCAAAAGCCATCCCTTCAAAATTATCCATTAGCAGAGAAGGTTCATATGAATTTTTTGTGCCCCTTAGTTTCCCCTGACAATGAAGTTTATATGCAATTCGAAGAACCGGAACGCTCAAATCAGAAGATTTCATCGAACTCTGAGAAGGACAAGAAGTATGGCTACATTGAGCGGAACGAACACGTGCCTTCAGGTCGTTCACGACATTGGGGAATTGTTTTTTGGGACGTGAGTGGGTGCCGGAACTTCTCCCAAATTCCCACGGTAAGGGGCAGATGTTACACGGGGCTACCCTACCCTTGCAATGGGAATCCAAACCTTTCCCTTTAGAGCGCGCGATCGGTTGCGGCGAACGCGACGCCGTTTTCGGGGAGAAGATAGCAGACCCAGACGTGCAGCAACAGGGGTGTTCTGGGTGTCCTTGCAACGTACAAAACCCTGACAGATCGCAGCAGACCTTTGCGATTTAATGGACGTTGCAGGTTCTGAGTCCAAACGATCCTCGTCATTTATGCGCTCTCTTGAAAAGAAAAGCCACGAGGATTTCCCAAATATCTATCTGGAGCAGCCACCCACATCAAACTACACACTCCTTCGGGTTATCGTGGACGACTTAAACGTTCAGTCTAGACATAGTTGCAAACTGTACAGCTCCACCTCGATACTGTTAGCGAATATGGTACCCGAATTTCACCAGTAAGAGCCACGTAGGAGTGGTTAACTGCCATAAACATCCACTGGAAACTCAAATCTTACGCTAACACTGCGGCCTCTAACATACAGGATCCCGAATCATTCTTGATTATTGACAAAAGTGAGCACTTCTCGGAATGAACTTGGTAGAAATAGGTAAAGAAATCTAGACGTGACCATGATTGACTCCCGATGAATCTTGGCACGATATAAGTCTCGGTGTAAAGCCGTTCTCGCAAGGCCTCGACCAAGATTATTAAACTCTTTATTTGCATGAAAAGAACGTATTTATTCCATAACCACATTGCTATTCTTTTATGGTAAAGTTATTCATGCAAGTCGATAAGTGGCTCGTTCATACAGCAAAATGCATGAGAGCCTGGTTTGAACATAAATTTGCTTCATTTCGCATGTAAAATTGTAGTGTAAGCAACGTCCAGAATGTGGTTCAAGCGAAGAGTGGACATAATAGTAGCCAGTCGATTGTCAATATGAATCGCGAGATCAGGAATATCTGACATCGACATCGTTGTACAGGTAGCCACAATATTGCCCTGAATTAAATACGTAGAGTTTCCAAATTCAAATGAAAGCAAAAAAAAACGTAAATTAGATTTACTCTCGTAGTGGTTTTTGTTTCCATTTCCAACTTTATTTCTATAACTAGTTCCACTTTTCTTTATTTAGATTCATTTTGGGTGGAGATGGTGTAGTGACTGAATCACCGTCATGCTTACACTTGCCCAGGAGTAGATCCCAGATCGACATTCGCCCATGCCATCCATGTCTTCCACCCCTCCGTGTGAATCTCTGTTCCGTAGGTGTATCCAAACGGGGCGCTTCGTTGCGCGCGTTCATAGAAACTAGGTCACGCCGCAGCCGTCGCATGCGGCGGGTCAGCCCGCGACACTTGACAGACGTCGCAGTTGTCATTGGGGCATACGGTTTGCGCTTGGTCCACGGCAGTCAGCCAAAGAGAAGTTAACATTGACAAATGTCATTCATTCGCTCCACT